GGGGGGTTTCACTGTCCAGTGGGAGGAAAACGGAGTACCCGGAGAAAAGCCACGCGGGCCCGGGGAGAACACGCAAACTCCACACGGGGAGGCCGGAGTTGGGCTCGAAGCCCGTGCCTCCGCATTGTGGGTTCGACGCGCTTGGAGCAAGCCGTTTTCGAATCATTTGATTTCTCTGAGGCGGAGTGCACGCTGGATCGATCGCTTGTCAGTCAGTTAGTCACGGGACTGAAACGCAGAGACCCAATCGCACGCTTTGGTCTTCAATGAGGCTAACAGTTTTTTTCAAGTTGGGGAGGAAGCCAGAGAGCGAGAGGAAATGACACGCCGGTAGACCGCAGCTCAAGCGAAAGGCCTTCTCGCTAGGAAGCGTGTTCACGTCACACAGTCTTTTCTTTCTTTCTTTTTTTCTTTGAATTGACGCCGATGTCCGCGTGTCCATCTCAGAGATGCAGAACAGCAAGTACTTTGCGTTTCATCCTTTTGTGACACGCAACGTGTGTCACTCTGGCGGGCGCACACAAACAACCCCCCACCCCCACCCCCCCGCTCGTCCTCCGCCCTTCTGTTTCATCAGACTCTGCCTCGCGAGCGACAGCGGTCGTCCTGCCGGTTGCCATGGCAACACTTCCTCCCGCCTTGGGCAAAACTGCTCGTGCACGTGCGTGCGTGTGTGTGTGTGTGTGTGTGTGTGTGTGTGTGTGTGTAGTCTGACTACTTGAGTCCATCCAAACGTCTAACCGTGTAAATGCACAATGAGTGAATGAACACACACACAATTGTGAAAGATTTGACAGTAGTGACAAATATGACGTGAGTGAACGCGAGCGAACATCCGGGCAGTGGGAAGGAAACGCATGAAGCGGGCGCACGAGAGAGGAAGGCTCCTGAGGGTGAATCCCCCTCTTGACACTGTTGAGGGCATCTCGCCTCGTGCCGTCGAGGTGACCAACGGAGGCCCGCGCCTCCGGCCCCCGGAGCGGAGCCGCCCCGGTCGCGAAGGGCGCAGGACAGCGAGGGACCGCGGGAGTCGGCGTCGTTCGCGGCCACCTACCTTCCTCCTCGCTGGAGTCCCTCCGAAGGAAGACGGGAGCGGCGGACGTCGCCGAGCCGACCGGCCCCGAGTTGCTCTTTGTGAAAATGCCGCTGATGAATTTGAGCATCTTGCGATCTTTGGAGGCGCCGCGCTGGCCCTGCTGGGCCTCGCCGCCGCCGCCGCCAACTTACTTCAACATAGTTCCTTGGCAGCAAATCACAAGGTGCGTACAGCAATGAAGAGGTAAGTTTATCAGCAAAAAAACAGACTGAGCCACGACTGCGCAGTAGTTGGCAGCTGGGCGTTACTAGTCGTACTAGTTAAGTGCTAGCTATGGATTAGTAGGATTTTGTCACTAGTTACTAGTAGCACGCAGGTGTCAACCAGCGCACAGTTTCGCTTCACAATTAGTAACATTTAGTCCGACCATTATCCCAAAATTGTTCTTCTGGTATGGACAAAGAGTGTACTAGTACTTTGTACGTGGACATTAAGCTGGCTATCAAAGACTCGAAACGCTTTACTTGTTAAGAGTTCAACAACTTTTTTCCTTGGAGTTGGCAGTGGTGAAGTAGTTGCGCTTTGTGTTTGCTGACCCGGCAAGAGTCAAGCGGTGACCTCACCGTGTTCTGTTGGAACAGGAGCTCTGAATCCAAGCTGCTGACGCTCACGCGGGGGACGCCCTGCCCCCTATCTCGGCCGGGACCTCGTCCCGCGCGTCCCTCCACGCTCGGGTCCCGCTGGCCTCGGCCCACGAGGCCCTGCAAGGGCCCGGGGAGCGCGCGGGCGTTCGGCAGTCCTTGCGATCGAGACTCTGGGCCGAGGCGGGGCTGCGATCCCGACCCTCCCTGGCGTCCCGGCCTCGGGGGGCCGCGCCGCCGCGGGATTTCACGAGACTCGCCGGCCTCTGGCCCAGCGGACGGATGGGCGGGCCGGTTCTGGCGGGAGTGCGAACGGGTTCGGGGGTCTCCGTCGGGGGGGTGCCGGTCAAAAAGGGAGGCCGGGATTGCTTGGCTTCGGGGGCGCGGCGGATTTCCTCCGGGTCGGCGGACGTCGGAGTCCGGGCTCTCTCGGGCTGCGCGGGGACCGGAGGTCTGCGCGGCGGCGGTTTCTCGCCGGCAGTTCGGGGGGCGTCGGCATCTTTGGGCTCGCTCGGAGGTTCCCCGCCTTCGCCCGCGGCCCCGTTCGCTTCGAGCCCTCGGCCGAAAACCTCGGCCGCCGGCGCCCGGGACCGGGTTTCGCCAGCCCCGCCGGGCGTTTGGGTTTCCGGCTCGACCCCGGCTCCTTCCGCCCGGCTCGCCCCCGAGGAAACGCTGCGGACCGCCCCTCCATTCTCCTCCACCGCCTCTACCTTGACCAAGGTGAGGGAGATGAGGTAGGTGGTGCGTTGCTGCAGGGAGCCGCCTTCGCTCATGGGATCCGGCTTCGGGTGACGCGCGGCAGACGGACGAGAGCGGGCGCGGGAAAAGGGGGTCGGCGAGAGTTCGTCCGCCTGTTCCGATGCGGAAGGATCCGACGGCGCGACGGAGGCAAAAAGCTCGCGGAGGCAGAGTTCCTCCTTACGTGGGCAAAGGGAGCGCTGGCCTCGTCCATGCCCCAAATCCGCCGTCTCCTTTGTTTGGGCTTTCAATTGAACGCGCGGAGAATCGCCGCATTCCAGCGGTTGTTCCCGGGAAACGCACCTCCGCCCGTGCGCGCGCGCGCGGCCACCGAGGCCGATCGAGCTTCACCGATGCGGACCTCGTGGCGCTCACCCTCGTGGCTCTCGTTGAGCAAAAAAAAGATTCCGTTGCCCTGCGCGGCGCGCAAACATGGAATCGGCCGCGCGCCGACAAGGTCGCGGCGTTCAATTTTCAGGAGAGTCACCCCGCAGCGGCGCGCTCACAGAACAGATGCGGCCCGTCGGCTCTCGTTGCCGTTCCGCGAGCCTCGCGGCGGCGTCGATTCAAAAGGCGGCCGCGCAGGAAGGGCATTGACGAGGCGGAAGCCCTGGCGGAAATGCGGGGGCGCGGGACGCGGTCGGGGCGCATTTGGCCATCACGTCCCTGTCGTCGGCCCCGAGTCCTCTCGGCGCGGGAGGTGTCGTCGAGCGTGACGAGACGGAGGAGGCAGACAACGACGGAGGCGCGTTATGAGCCGGGTGCCCGTCTCCCGCGCGCGCTGCTCGCCATCTCCGTCGGCGTCGTGGCGCGATTCCTCTCGCAAGGCGCGCTTGCTCTCTGCTCTTCCTCGCTCATCCCTCCTCTCCCCGACTCCCCTCCATCTTTCTCCCGGTTTGCCGCCGAGGCGGGGGTGGGGCGTCTACAGGGGGGAGGGGCGGGGGGACCGGAGGGGAAGGAGGGGTGCGGGGCTGGGTGTCGGAGGACCCGCTAAATGAGCAGAGACTGTGGAAAATGTGGGGGGGGCCTTCACCGAGGAGCGGGGAATGGGAGCGCTCCAGCTCTATTTTCCCCCAGAAATCATTTTGATGGGGATCATCCGTCTCTCCTCAGCCGTCTGCGCGTGCGCGCGCGGCTCCGCGTAGCTCCTCCTCAGGGGGAGGCTCGGCTTGTTTGTTGCTAAGGTGTCCCGATCTTCCCGGCAATGGCGGCGCAATCATCTCCCCCCACCGCGTCCTTCCTCCTCTGCCGCCGCGTTCCGTATTGCCGCCTTCCCCTCGTCCATGTGGGCGGCACAAGAGCTTTCCTGCGAGCGAGCGTACGGCTCCGCTTCCGCACGTGTTCACGAGCGGAAGCGGGAAGGCTCGGGTGTCGGCGGGAGGATGGCAACGCATCGGACGTCAAGAGCTGGGCCGCGCGATGCCATCGGGCGGCGCGCGTTGACTTCCATCTTTGTGTGGAAGTCAAAGCGAGTCATTGGAACGCAGACCGCGGATGTTTCCAGTCATTTGTTTTGTGTGTGTGTGTGTGTTTGTCAAGCGTGAGCGGAAGGATACGTCGACCTGCGCTTCCTGGCCACTCGTTTGAGACCAATCAAAGATCCCGAGGTGATCGGCTTCTAGCGACGCCGCTCGAGCAAAGCGCGACTCAGCGGTCAATCGTCCGCCGCTCTCCGCCGTGCGTGGGTCATGTACGCACGGGCGCGTCTTTTGGCTTCAACCGATCAGCGCTGACGCAACAGACGTGACGCGTCAAAGAGCTTTGATCGACGACACCAGCTAAACTAGCTTAGCCCAGACAACAGCTAAGCTAGTAGTACAGACGACACGACGCTCGAGGTCGGACGGACACGCTCTCCGGTAATCTGTATGTTTCTTTTCTTTTTCTGTCCCAATCGCTATTTTTCGACTCCAATAGTAGTCTCGTCCACGGGGTCTTTTTTCGTCCCACCGGGGTTTAGCTCGTGTGATTCGAAAGACACCAAAATCTCTTGAGGCTAACCTTCATTTTGATGCCCGTGCGGCATTTTCACAGCCATGTACAGCGTCTGTCTGTCTGTCTCTCCGCGTGAGCGGGATCACGTCCGAAATCGAAGACTTTTTGGGTGGCGGGCGTGGCACGGGATTCCTTAGTGCAGTGACATTGTGGAGCCCGTCACCCTCCAACGGAGTAAATTCAGACACAATGATCGCACAGCGATCAATGGCAGGCCTCTGAATGCAACATCACAATGTCCAATTTTCACCGCGTCGTCAAATCAGTGAGTCGCGACAATGGTGCCGTGACGCCCGGCCGTATTACGAATCGACTCGGATCACATCCGCAACGCAAAGAGAAGAAAAAGGCAGGATTTCTATTTTTAGTCCGAGGCGTTTGAAAAGGAGCAAAAGCAGCTGCCGCTGCGACAACAACGCGTCGGCGTTCTCTGTCGAAAAGGCTTTGATGTGACATGTGAGGATGCATGCGACGCGCCATCGTCTCAATCCGACCGTCCACCTGCTCCGCCTGCGTGCTGCCCCCTCCCGCTCCCTCCCCCCGGTTTGCCCAGTTACGCCTCGCACGGAATACGAAAGAGCCGTTGGATCAAGGGGACAGACGCGCCGTTCAAAGGAACGTAAAATTGCTCGAGAAGCATCCGTGTCGGCAAAATTGAATTGAGAAGCCCGTCGGGAGGGGAAAAAAAAAAGCACATTGATTCAAGAGCGTCCCGCATGTGGAGCAGGGCTGCCGCGAAACCAACGGCGGCCAAAGGAAGCGGCCGTGCCGGCCGGGCGAGCTTTTCTTTCTCTTTCAGTCGTCCTCTCGCCGCCGTAGTTTGCCACCCGAAGCGTGTTGACAAACGCTACCGGACATCTGGAGGTCTTCATTCCAGTCCCCGGAGTCGCCTCGTTCTCTTCCCGACGTCGGTCGGCCGAAAGGAGAGGAGCGTCTCTTTTTGGCAGCGCTCGACTCTGAACTGGCACGATCAAGGCGCCCGCAGAGGATCCGCCCGCTTTGATGCTCACTCCAGAGTTGACGCTGCAGCCTCATTATACCCCAAACTCACTCCAACGTTGTGGAACGCGCGTGCCGAGGGGAATTGCTGCGACGTGAGCCAGACCCCCCACAAAAAACCTCAACGCAAAACAGCCTCTCCCGGCCGACTTCGGGCGGAAGGCAGACTACACCCGGAACTGGTCACCTGTCAGTCGCGGGGCACCTCCAGAGACAAACGACCGTTCACACCCACACCGTCACGCTGCCCGCACACAAGTCCGCCGAGCGGACCGCCGCACCGTCGGCGACCTATTCCACCCCCTTGTGACAAAACAGTTGTCACCAACTTCACGATCGAGCGTCTGCCATCGCGCGGTGGCCGGATGAGTTGAGTTGGATGCTCTTTTCCACGTGCGGTGAGCTTTTTCAGCTGCGATTTGACCCCCCTTTCCATCGCTCGATCCCTCCAAAGTGGCGGTCCAAGCCCCAAATTGCTCCGGGGCCCCGGCGCCTTTTTTAACGACACGGGATGAGAAGTGACGCAAGTGCGCCGAGGAGGTACGCTTCAACGGCGTGCCTGTGCAAGAGGAAGTGGCTTCGAGAGCGGTCGCGCAGCGGCAGACAGGAAGTCGCTAGGCCGCTCGTCACTCTCCTCCTCCTGCTCCGGGAGGTCGGCGCTTTGTCCGCTGGCCCCTTCAAACACAAATGCCGCCGGGTGGCCGACGGTCAAGTGCTTCGATTGAGCAATAAAAAAAAACAAAGAAATGTTTCATGGGGATGGAGGAAGCGATCGGCTGACGGGACAGGCGGAAGAAGCGATCCGCGGGCTTCGGCTGAGTCACTTCCAATTGGCCCCGTTGGTTTCTTTGTGTCCTTTTCAACATCGCAGTTGCGTCTCCGTTGGCCACGTCCCACACGGGGACTTTGCAGATCTTCCGGCGAGGCGTCGCTGTTCCATTTTGTACACTTGACCGGGATCGACCGTTTCCCGTCCCGGGATGAGCTTCGATTCGCCGCGGCGACCGTTTCCCGTGTGTGATTCTACTCGACTATTGTCATGACTGGAAGTGCGTTCTGCGTTTTGGGCCGGGTCCCCATTTGTGGCTTTCCCGCACGGCTGAATGACGCTTTTCGACGTACTCCTCGATGCTCGGGTGCTCCGGATGATCGACGTGCCACACTAGAGTGTTGTCATGCTGCATTTTCCAAGACGACTGACGCTTTCTAGCGTGTCCGATTGCAATGATGTGCTCGTGTCGCTCTGAAGAGGCGGATTAGGTCAGGCGGGTCCCCGCCGAAAGCCACAAAGTGGAGCTAACGCGCGCTTCGCCGTCGCATTGCACCGCGCCTCCGTACACACACGCACACGTTATTTGCCCCCCCCCCCAAAATAAATGAATAAAATAAATCAAGAGCGGCTTACCTTCGATACTGCGCAGGTAAGCTCTGAGGCCCGAGCGCAGCTGCGGATCCGAGACCCTTTCCAGCTGCTTGGAAAGTCTGCCGATGCCGTCGCAGAGCGCTTGGTAGCGCTTGACCTCCGCCTTGATCAGGGCCGAGTGGAGCGATTTGCCGTCGCCGCTCATCGTCAGGCGTGCCGCAACTACAAGCGAGGACGCTTTGGCTCAGCGGGGCCCACGGAAACGCCGGAGCGACTGGCGAAACGGGTTGGAGGTTCTCTCCGCGCGCCTGTCTTAAAGCGTCCTGCGGGGGTTGAGCTCAACTCAACTCACTTCCTTGTCTCTCAGCCGAGTGTGACGGCTCGCGACGCTTCTGCGGTTCAAAGCGTGACTCGCAGAGCGTCGCCCTCACTTCCTTGTCATCAAACGTCGATAGGAAATGTGCTCCACCTGTACTCGTTGCGTGTCCTGATTGCAGGCGGCCGGGAGGAAGTCGCGTACTGTTTTGAGACAGGAAGGACTCCCGTCGCCGACACGAGTCCTACAATTACGGAAAATACAGCAGCGTATGGGAGGTCGGCTTCATTTCTGGCAACATCATCCGCACAGTCAATAATCGAAGTATTCGCAAAGGTGGAGAGGGGACGCGACGATGACTCGTCTCCACGCTCCCGTTCAAAAGGCGGGTTTTGCCATGTGCAAAAAGAGCTCATTTGAAACCTCTTCTTCTACACAACTCAAATGAAAAAAAAAGAGATGGAGGGGGGGGGGGCAGCAGAATTCGCAAAGGTGGAGAGGGGACGCGACGATGACTCGTCTCCACGCTCCCGTTCAAAAGGCGGGTTTTGCCATTTGCAAAAAGAGCTCATTTGAAACCGCCTCTTCTACACAACTCAAATGAAAAAGAAAGAGATGGGGGGGGGCGCTGCCGCAAGGAGGGACGGCCCCTTTGTTCACAAAATGAGTGTCCGTGTCCGAGTGTCCGTGCGCGCACGTGCCCACAAAAAGCAACAAATGAGCCTAACTTGTGGTTTTGTTGAATGTTGATGAATGGAGCAGCAACTCGAATTGGGGGGGGGGGGCAAAAAGCAACAAATGAGCCTAACTTGTGGTTTTGTTGAATGTTGATGAACGGAGCAGCAACTCGAATTAGGCTGCCGCAAGGAGGGACGGCCCCTTTGTTCACAAAATGAGTGTCCGTGTCCGAGTGTCCGTGCGCGCACGTGCCCACTGCGGGGAAGGAGGGTCCGCCCTTCTTCACCACCTTCCCAAGATACCCTCGCAGAACGCGAGAGAGTGGAGTCGAGTTTGGACTTGGGTGAAGCCAATCCGAAATGCCAACAATCTTGCTCCGGCACGGGCTAGTTTGCATCGCGTCTTCACCCGTTGCAGACAGCCATCGCTCACGGCGAGTCGACACTCTGAGCAGAGTGAAAAGGGGAGGTCGAGTGCAGTTGAGAAACATGACACGAGAAACAACCCGATATATCGATCGTATTTGAGGGGGCAAGCGGCGGGACATTAAGACGGTACGAAGTGGAGCGGAAGAAAGAGAGAGGCATGAGATCATAAAAAGATGTGAAATATATTTGGGGGGAGGTGGCGTCGGTGGCACATTTAATTGAGGGGGCCAGGCCCCCTCTTGCCTCTGCCTAGACCCGGCCCTGCTTTGAAATGGCAAACCTATGAAATTCCAACACAGCCTTGAAAGTATTCCACCTACTTTTGTCCCACCATAAGTACGCATACAGACATGTCGTGCCTTTGGACTGTAAGATAGACTTAAAAAAAAAAAAACCGTAGCCGAAGAGGAAAAGGAAGTTTGCCTCCGGTCACGTGTTGACGTGACGCCCGCCGCCGCCGCCGACGTCACGTTCGCCCTCCGCCCTCGTCTGAAGAACAGCCGAAAGCCGAGAGCCGAGAGCCGGCGAGCGCTCCTTCTGTTTGGCCTTCCGACGGTCGCCCGGCCGAGCCGAGAGAGCCGCGATGGTCTGCGGCGGCTTCACGTGTTCCAAGAACGCCCTGTGCTCCTTGAACGTCGTCTACATGGTGAGTGTCTCGGCGCTAGCTCGCTCGTTGCTAGCCGCCTTAGCCTCGAGCCCGGCTAGCGACCTAGCCGCGACGCAGAACAATGAGTCAGACTTCGGCTTTTGTAGCTCCACGTCTCCGGTTTCAAGTCAAACTCGCGGGGGGGCCTTTGACGTCTCCAAACGCTCGTAGCAAGTCTTGAATGGGCCTGATCGTGTCAGGCTGCGAGCTCTTACTCGGGAGGTTGGACGGAGTCGTCGGGAAAGCGACCCGCACCCCGGGCCCTCTTCATGCTGTCACTGTCAGGCTGGCCGGTCCACCCCGTGCCGCTCAGCGGCCACGTTTTTGAAGGCCGATTATTGGCGGAAGCGCGTTTATGATCGGCCGCTCCGCGTGTTACGCGCCGTGCCTCGAAAGTAGCCGAAGCGGACTTTGCGCGGCCTAACTCGGGGCCCGGGCGCCAGCAACTGAGTCACCGACGTCGTGTCACGTGGCCCGCCGTCACCAACGCAATAGCGGACTTGTTTATCGAACGCCGAGGTGGAACGTTGTCTTTGGATCGCCATCGCGCGAGACGGCCAGTACGTCTGGCTTTCACCTCGAGTCGCTTCCGCTTCGTAGTTGAAGAATGTTTTTTTTTTTTTCCTCGCTCACCATCTTAGCTGGCTCGCGTTTGATAAGGCAGCTTCTCGGTTGCCTCGTCGTTCGAACGATGCCGAGAGCGAAAAAGATCCGCCTGACTTGGGATTCGTAGAGATCGCGATGCGTCTCCCGTGCAGACGTCCGCGGCCAATCCGCGGTTTGGGCTCGTGCGTGCGCAACCATGACTTTGCGAGGGTCGGTTTTGACTGTGAAATTGGAGTGTTGTGAAATGACTTGGTATAGACCACAAGAAAAGAATCCTTCGCAAGAGCAAGCCACTTCTGTTTGGCATTTATCGGCAAGCTCACGAGCCGGTGGACGAGTCCGACGTTAGCCGAAAGCCAAAGCTCGATCGCTGCTATTCAGTGAAGCGACTAAATTGTTTGTCTGCTGAAGTGGGATGGAAGGAAGCCCCGGTTAAATGAGCGATACGACGTCGTCCGTCACCGTCAGGAGCCAGAGGTGCGTTACCAGATGCGGCCGTGAAGGGGACGAGGCCCGAAAAAGCCTCCGCTTAGTGCTTGGTAACTCAAATAAGGTCTGGTCCGCAGACCCGAGGCACCGACCGGCCGGGTGTGTCGGAGCTCGGAGAGGTAAGGTGGAGCGAGGCCGTTCTCGCATTTGGAAACAAATCATGGGATCTTGGAAAGAACTCTAAAATGTACAGGCGGCCGGTGAAGGGATGCCAGCGTAGGAGTGATGCGCTCCCTCTTACGAGTAGCAATCACGAGGCGAGCGGCGGCGTTCGGGACCAACTGGAGACGCTTAATGGAGCCAATCGGCAGTTCAACCCGGTGGAATGAGGATTCCAATAAACGTGTATTCTTGAGATCATCTGACATGGACCAAAACAAAAAGCCATTGAGCTCAAGTTTCCTCTTGCAGTTGGACAATGTCATCAGTCAGAGAGAGAAAAATGTCGCTAATGGGTTGAAATAGGACGAGGATGCTAAGTTGCTAAGTCGCTGCCTTTGTGCGCCGCGCAGCTGGTGGGCCTGCTGCTGATCGGCGTGGCGGCGTGGGGGAAGGGCTTCGGCCTGGTCTCCAGCATCCACATCATCGGCGGCGTGATCGCCGTGGGCGTCTTCCTCCTGCTCATCGCCGTCGTGGGCCTGGTGGGAGCCGTGCGCCACCACCAAGTCATGCTTTTCTTCGTATCCTTTGCCCGCGTCCGCCGCCGCAAATCCAAAGCCGTCGCGCGCTTTCTTTGACGCCCGCCTCGCCAGTACATGGTCATTCTTTTCATCGTCTTCCTCTTCCAATTTGGAGTGTCCTGCTCCTGCCTGGCGATGAACCGCAGCCAGCAGGTGAGTGGCCTCGGCCTCCTTCCCTTCTCCTTTTGGCTTTGGGAGCCAATTTCAGGACCGAGCTCAAATGCCGTGAGGAACCTGCGCAGCCCAGCGCGGTTCCTCACGACGATCTGGCAAAAGTTCTCGGCTCCGACGCGTGCCGTTGGGCTCCTTGTTGTGCCAAACGCGCTGAACCGTTGAACTCAAGTTGGCCCGGAAGGGTGCGAATTTTGAGTCCGTCCTGAAATGTCACACCGCAGCCAAACGGCCGAAAGTTTTTGTGCTTAGCGTTTGCCGTCTCGGTTCCTTTCGATTTGGCCGTGGCCTTCGGTACATTGCGATACCTCATCTGGAGTCGTTTTTCGTGTGACTCTTGCTCCGCCCGTTGGAGTCGCCCGAGGCCGAGACCCCTCGCTCTGCTTTGACAGGAAGTGCTTTTGAACTCGGCGTGGGGAATGTTGGAGAACAACACCAAGACGGACCTGGAGAGTCAGCTCAACTGTTGCGGGCTGCTCAACGTCGCCAGCAAGCGAAAGCAGTTTGAGGAGGATCTGCAGAGCTGTCCCGCCGTAAGTCCGCCGCCGCCCCGCGTTCGCGACTCCATCCTGCCCCTGAATGTTGGCGCTTTGCCTCGAAAATTGGCCAGAGTTTCATCTGCTCGGGCCGGTCACCCCGGGACATTTCTTGTTGACAAACTGTCGCTGTTTCTGAGCGATATCCCGGAAATGAGCCGGATGAATATTTCCGTCGCGTGCCCCAAAATCTTCGACTTGTGCCCTTAAAATTTCAGGTTGCGCCCGTATCTCACCGAGCCGCGGAGGTTTGCAAGTGTGCGCGCACCAAACGACTGATGATGATTTTGTTGTTTTTGTTTTGGCCAGAGTTCATTCAGTGTTGAAAACAGACTTTCAGCAGACAAATGTTTCAAATGCCTTTGCGACGGAAAAACTGTTTGGCGAACGTATTTGCGACCTTGAAGGCTCCCTGACGACAAAGCATTGGCGACGTGCGCACGCGCTTGCAAACCGCCATCGAGTGAGATACGGGGGCACCAAAACCGGCTTGCTTAGTCCAGAGCCCTGCAGCTCAAGAGCGCGCAAATCCTGGCTTTCCCCCCCGCTTTTAGCCGCACAGATTGTCCCGGTGGCCGGAGCCAAGTAAGTGGGCCACGTTTGAGCTCAGCCGACAGCTCGCCCATCCGCGGCGCCGCCGACCAAAAGCCTCATCTGCTATTTTTGTGTCTTGGAGCGCAGTTATGCAAGAATACGAGTTCGTGCTACACCTGCGGGGATATGATGCTGCACCACGCCAGCGAGGCTCTCAAGATCCTCGGCGGCGTCGGGCTCTTCTTCAGCTTCACCGAAGTGAGCGGCCGGCACCCGTGCGCACCCCGCTCCGTCTCTCGCCAACTCGGGGACAGACGCTCCAAAACGCCGGACCGTCCGTCTTCGTTGATAGAGCGCTTTCGCTGCGGCTGTCGCGAGGCGCGCTACACGGCGGCTTGCGTAAAATAGCAAAATAATACAACGGAAGAGACACTTTTCCTGCGCACGCTTTGGGATTTGAAGCGCTTCGCCATGAAAGAGGAGACGATCCAAACGCCCTCTCACGGTGAATCGGAGCCATCGCACTGAAAATGCGCCCGTGTCTGCTCCGAGCTAACTTTCCAAGTCAACAAGAAGCTGTGGCGTCTGTTGACAAATAAGAGATTGGCTCACTTGTCCTGCCCCGTGTCAGTCCGCCTCAATTTCAAGTTCCAAATGGGCATCGGCGCCGACGCTCCTCTCCCCTCGCCCTCGCTTCCACAAGCCATCTGTGCAGACGGCGCCCACATCGCCGCTGATCAAAACGGGTCTGCCCGTTACAGGCACAGGAAAACACAAGCGCCCCGGGGCTGTCGGCGCCAACGTCGCTCCCAATCGAAATCGCTGTCGGTGCACGCGCGCTGCCGAGAAGGCGCCGCCGCCGAGCGCGGATTCTTCGCCTTTGACGAACGTCGCGACCAAAAAAGCGTCCACGTCGCGTCGGCGCAAAGGACAGCAAAAACAAAGAGAACACAAAGCCGAGCTCTTGCCGACGGCCGCCAGCGACGGCGCCGTCTTGGATTTTTGACACTCTGGCCTCTCCCCAAAACGGGACGCCCTCCGCTTTGTTTCAAACGAGCGCGCGCGGTCTTGGGCCGGGGACACTCCAAAAGAGACTCCGGCCGGCTCTTTTGTCGCCTTCAAATGCCGGCTAATTTCACGTCCTTTCAAATGATCCCGTCCGAGGTGCGTTAAGAGTGAAGTTGACCCCAAACGGGTCAGGCCGATGACCCGAAGCCCGCGTCTCGCCGAGCGGCGAATGTTGGCGCGCGTAGCAAATGTCGTTTCCCCCCTCGTCGGCCATTTGTCCCCAGACGGCCCCCGGGGGTGACCTTCGGCGGCTGACTTTGATGCCTGTCCTCCTCCAGATTTTGGGAGTTTGGCTGGCGGTGCGCTACAGGAACCAGAAGGACCCGCGAGCGAACCCGAGCGCTTTCCTCTAAGCGCGTCCCTGCGCTCGGGTGGCGCGGCGCGGGACCCGCGCCCTTTCCGGCACACGACGCCGCCGAACGGATCCGCCCGGCCGACACCAGAACACGCCTCCTTCACCCGAGACCGAGAAGCCACCCGAGCTCGCGCCCGACCGCCCGGGCGCGACTCTTACGGGCGCTGAGGCCCCCTCGCCCGTATCGCCACCCCAGCCTCGTCGCACCGACGAGCCGCCGCCGCCACCCGACCCGGCAAGTGAGAGACGTCTCGCACAACAGGCCACCGCGTGCGCCTCGAAGTGTTCTGCGTGACGAGACGGGGAGACGACGCGGCGTGCCCAGCAAAGGTAGCTTGGATGTCAATGATGTCGCCGCCGGCTTGGAGGCGGCAACCTGTCAGATGGCCGCCATCTTTGCGGAATCTTCTCAAAGGGCGCGTGATGGCCGCCGCGCACGTGTCCTCTTGGACTGCCCGCGTTGCTCTTCTCGCCGCTCGTCTTGCGTTTGCATGAGATCGGAAGAAATAACTGGCGAGGAAGGGCCCTTCCCCTCCGATTGCCCGCCGCCTTGCAATTTCCACCTCTCCGCTTTCTGTTGTGCTTCATGAAATCAGACTGATGATCGTGGGTGATTATTGATGTTGAAATGGTCAGGACGTGAAACCGCAATTGCTCAAAGTGGCCGTTTTACGGCGACTTTGAAACGGCCGACGGCTTTGGACGCTTGTCCGAGCCGCGCCGGCTTTTGGGTGGCGGCGGGTGAGTGGAGCTACTTTGGGGAATAACCGGGCTCTAATTTCATGAACAGATGAGAAAATGTCGGGGGGGGGGGGGCATTCTCCGTATTTCAAATTTGTTGTTGTAAGCATTAAAGGGGAAGCCAAGTCAAAAATGGTCTTCACACCACCGTGCACTACGAATTTGGCGCAAAATGGCCGCCCCCTGAGATGGGTTTAAAAAAACGGATGGCTCTTCCTTTTTTTTTTGCTGAAGTCATATTGCACAAACGCAATGGAATCGGACTTGGGGGCGGTGCAGCGATCGTATTCCCGCAAACGACACTTGACTTCCCCTTGAAGGCACCGAAAGCAAATTTTTTTTTTCTTTTCCATGAATCGGGCTGTCCGTCGGTTGTCTGAATCATTCCAATTTCGAAATGTTCCTTGTACTCGGCTCGAGGTGGCTCGTTCCCGACCGCGCTCGCCATTTTGACTGGCCGTCATCTTTGTTTCCCCGTGTCACGTCGCCTCTTGTGGCGATGAGGGAGGAAGCAATCGAGACGGCAAATTCACTTCCCGCGTTTACAGTCATTCGTTCAATTTGTCCTCCCGAATCACGACAAAGCCGTTCCAACTGGACATCTTCCTTGCAAACCAAGTCCGCAAGCTGCGAGGAGATGGAGCATTTTCAGACTTTTGTGTGTTTGTGTTTTGTTGCTGTTGAACTCGTGATTAGACGATGAGTTGCCAAGCCAATGGCGTTCAAATATTTATGAACTGCAACTGAGCCAGCCGTCACATGTCGGAACGCCGACGGACCGCAGACGTGATGTTGGACATCGGTAAATGTGCTGTTGCGCGGCCTTTCCGCTGCGCGACGGCGTCGCTTTGCGCAATATGTCCTGTCGGATGCGTCGTAGGTCCCGACCCGTTTGGCGGCCATTTTTTTGCTGAAGCGGGCCAAGTTTTGACCATTGCATGTCACCTTCTCCGTTTCGTCGTCAAGCGGCGCTTGCAGAATGATGTTCTTGCGCCGCTTCTCCATTAGATGGCGCCGGGCTCGCTCCCGCGCACCTCGTCCTCGTTCCCGCGCGGCCGTGCGCAAACATCGGCAACGATCATCGTCTTGCGGAAGCTCCTGACCTTGATATCGCTTTGACGGCCAACTCTTGCGCTTGGCCCGGTCACGCGCTCGGACGGGCTTTCGCTTCGCTCGGAGACTCTTCTGGAGGAGGAGCCCGGCTTTTGGCTTTTTAAAACGTGGCCTTCATCTCGTCTTCTTTTTAGTTGAAATGGGTTGACCTTTTTGATCAGACAGTGGACTTTTTTTTTAGGGGGGGGGGTGAAGAAAAAACCTGCAAAACATGAAGTGGTGAGGGATGACCGTCTCATTTTTGAGTTGATGGGCCGCTCGAGTCGCCAAACATTGGAGCCCGCGTCCCAAAATCCGTCTCGGTCGGGCCCTGCTCCGTTCGCCGGAACAGCAGATGCGGTGTCGAGAGCGACGGGAGCCATCCATCGTTTTGCACGGCGTAGCCAACTTTGTCGTACAGCGCGGCGAGGCCTCGCTTCCGCTCCTTTTTCATCTTGGGCTTCATCGTCCTTTAGCGCTCGTCGGTGTTGTTCAACAAATGCTTTGTGCAAATGTGTTTGTGAAAAATGTCGCAGGTGTATTTGGAGTTGTCTTTGATGGTTCGGGGTGTTGTTTGAACTTGGAGATGAGATGAGATGAGCGTCCACTTTAATTGCGTGTCTTACTTGACCTTGTCAGCTTGCAGCCGGCGCACATTTTTGCCTCCGCCGTTTCTCCCCTCGCCGCGTGCGGGCGGGCGCTTTGCCGTTCATTTGTGCTGGCGTTGTATTGCCCCCGTCTTTTGGGGACCTCGAATTTTACAAATAAATTTTCAAATTGGTCCGTACGTTTGGAGTGCCTCTTGCTTTTGTATGTGTCATGTTGCTTGTGAATACAAATGTCAATGACGTGCCGCGTCGGAATCTCAATGGCAGGATTTCCAGTGAGGCGTTGCCAGCTGCCGTTTCTGCCCCCTCAAAGCGAGAGTCGTCTTGTCGACGCGCACACCGCGGAAGGGGACGCCAAGGACGAGGACGGAGTGCAAACGGATCCCCGTGATGTTTCTTCAGATGGCGCTTCATCCCTCAGACGAGCGGAGGGAGATCTTCGACAATCATGAGCCGTCGTCCTAACGCGCCGTCGGCGTTGCCCGGCTTGACTTGCTGTGAAAGCCGTGACCTCCGCGGCGGCGGCCCAACTCGGTGTCGGGTGTGCTTTGGGCTCCGAACGCTTCCCAACCAACAACCGGGTTGGACCAAAACGTCCAGATGCATCGGGAAATCTATTTTTCAGTCAGCATTCGCATATTTGGTATTGGAGTCATCAAAAAGGAACTCCACGTTATGGTCATGGCTGACGACATGTTGAACAAGCAACTAGTAAGGGGAACTGGATGGGAATGTCCTTTTCAAGAAAACCAACTAGCTCAATCGATTTTGTGGGGTGGGGGGGGGGGGGGGGATGGCCCCTGAGGGCCCTCTGCCAGTCCCCCGCCCCGCCCTGCCGAGCGGGCCCATATGCCGGCCGGGCACTCGAGCTGGCAGAAGCTGCGGAGGATCGGAAAGAAACCGAGAGAGCGAAAGAGAGCGAGATGGCCATCTGTCCTCTCGAAGCTTCAGGAGACGCTCTGCAAGCACCACGACGACGATGCATCCGCAAGGGTGTCGTCCTTGCGCGTAACCTTGCGCCCCGTGGAATCTTGCCACCGTTCCTTTGTTATTTGATGATTCTTTTTGCATAAGCGCTCCTGAAAAGAACGGCCTTCAGTCATGTGCAGCGGCTGCTAAAAGCCCCCCCGCCCGAGGGCGACGTCTGACGCGTGCGACCGCGTCATCTACGCAGACGTTGAAAGGATAAAAGGAGGTTCTCCATCGATAATGTCTTCAATGCGCACCAGGGCAAAATAACAGCCGCCTCGACCTTCCGAGTGACGTCTTTTGACGCCCCCCCCGGAGCCGTATGGGGATGGAAGTTGTTCTCTTCACTGAGGAAAGGCAAACGGGTCAATAAGGCCCATCGATAATGAAACAGAGCAGGAATGCTCCTTGCTTGCTTGTCAGAGAGGAGGCCGGCGTGTGCGTGCGCGTGTCTGCATATATGTGGGGGGGGGTCAGCTGCGAAATGCGGCCGACGACATTGCGCCACCTGTTTTCTCAAGAGTGTCATCAAATAATGCGCTGAGCGGAGGCTCCAATCGATGCCTTGATCTCCGGAGCCGTATGATGAGATTGCGCTTTGACCGGTTTGGGCTTGTTTTGTTTGTCGGTTTTTTTTCCGCCTGTGGCTCTCGGAAGCCCGACTTCCGCGGGCGGGTCCCGGAGCCCAAACGGAGAGCGCCAGAGAACCCGGGCCGGCTTTGGTTTTTTTTCCTCTTGTCTGTTGCTCGTGAAATGGCGAAGGTTGACCGAAGCTGACGCAAGCGTCCGTTGAACTGAGGAGCTCCCGGCTCGATTCGTCGCAGCGCCGCCTGCGACTCGCATTCAAAAACAGAGCAAATTCCAACTTGACGTGATCATCGCAAACTTGAGATGAAACGGCTAAAGTTTCCTGGGCACCAAGTTGAGGGCGCCTGAGCTGGGCTGCCTTTGACTCACATGTGTCACGATTCCGTTTGTGACCAACAGGTGGCGCCGTTGGGCTCGCCCTGCAGCTGCACACCTGTTGGTCGTTATCCAATCAGCGCTTTCCAACGACTCCCGCCGCGACATTGTTTGGTTGTGTTCTGGTCATGTTTCGGTGATTGATCGTTTTTGTTTCAGTCGTGGTTTTAGTTTGACACTTTGGCTTCGTTTTGTTTTTAGGACTTTGTTTTGGATTGAGTTTTCTCTGTATTCCACCAATACAGTCCACCCTGCTCCTCCCTCTTGCCTGCTTGTTGGGGTCCAGCACCACCACCACCACCGCGCAAAACGTGCCAACATCAAAAGGGCCATGAAGGAGGGAGGGCAGACCACCGGGGGGCGGTCAGCACCGCGGACAGCGCCCGCTCAACAAGCCGACCTCCCCTCGGAAGGCTTCACCTGCGCTCTCGACAGAAAAGAAAATTCGATGAAAAAAAGAAAAAAAGTCCCGCGTGCGCCGACAGGATGCCAGCAGGCTCGTTCCGGAAGTAGCTGAGCTGCTCTGGCGAGCGACCATTTGCAGGAGGGGAGGCGAGCGAGCGAGCAGCATCCTGAACGGGAGCGTCGACGCTTCTGGCGTGGCGTTGTTGTCGCGGGACGCCGTCTTTCGAGGACGCCTTGGGATTTTTTTTGGGGGAGGGGCGGTGTTTCGTGTTGTATTTTCGGGACCCCCCTTTCGCCTTCTTCCTCCTCGGATGGCGGGCGGGGAGCACCGCCAACGATCGTCTTTTTGGGAGGAGATGGAGTGAGAAGGCGAGCGGCGGCGTTGGGCCCGACTCTTTTGTTGTCCGGAGGGCGCCACGCCACGCGCCTCGCGAGCCCCGCTCGGGCCGGCTCGGCTCTTTCGTCGGATGACGACGGCGGCCCGGGCTCGCAGATGTGAGCGCTCGGATGGCGTCGGCGTCGGCGTCGCTCGGTGTTCCGCTTCGGCCGGCGAGCGCGTCGGCTCGTCCTTCTCTCGCTTCGCCTTCGACGCGGCCGCCGCCGCCGCCGCAAGCCGCTCGCCGCGCATCGACGCCGGCCGTCTTGTTTTTTTTTCGGACTCTGTTTTTCTCGGGGGGTCGGGACCAATGACATGGCGAGCGCTCCGTGAGGGACGGACGCTGGCTTTCGGCACGCGTACGCCAGCAGCGGCTCCCTTTTCGGCCGCCGCCGAGCGCAGAGCGTAAACGCGCATCCGGGAGCACTCGGCGCAGCGGCCCAGCAACATGTTCAAGTATCGGATCCGCATGTTTCTGAACGAACTGAAAGTGCTGGTGTTGACGCGATCCGAATCGAGCCCGTCCGGCAACGGCGGCTCCTCCGAGCGCTCGGCGGCCGCCATGCGCGGCTTGGGCATGGGCATGGGCATGGGCATGGGGGGCTGCGGCTGGCCGCCCTTCGTCGACTGCCGCTCGCGCGACGACGACGAGGACTACTACGGCAGCGGCGAGCCGCGGCCG